TGTCGATTAAGAACAAATAGAGAAAAGAATGTACATAGTACCAAAGTAGAAGCTTTAGTCACTGACTTATTGCAAGCAAAGGTCGATGGCATTAAAAGCGTTGTATTCTCACAATGGACAAGAATGTTGGATTTAATTGAGGTTCGGCTTAATGTATCTACGATGTTTACATTTGCACATAACCAAAAAAGTCAACGTTGATTTCTATTATTTCCATGATAGGACGCTTTGAATGAAAAAAGCATTCTTTTTACACGTCTGGATGGTACGATGACTCGAGCTGAGCGTACGCAAAATATGGACATTTTTAAGCAGGAAAATGACGTGAGCGTCATACTCGTTTCATTAAAGGCTGGTGGTGTTGGGTAAGAGTTGACTTGACAATTTACTCTCCACATCCCCTATTATATTAGACATTTTTGGGTCAAATATATATGTATATCAGATGTATGAATTTGAGCTGTCTCTAGCGATAAGAATCCTGTTAATTCAATGCTTTCCATATCCACAGATTGAATTTAACAGCCGCTCAAAGAGTATATCTTATGGATCCTTTTTGGTAAGATAAAGCTATATGCATTCTGAATTCTTTGATAGGTTAATAACTTGGGGGTTTTTTTTTATAATTATTCTGTTATGTTTAAAGGAATCCTTCAGTAGAAAATCAAGCGATTGATAGAATCCACCGATTAGGACAGACCTCTGCTGTGGATACTATTAGATTTATTATTCGAGTAAGTTTTATACTCATCGCATTCATTGCATGAGCATTTAATTTAATTAAATTCTTATTTGCAGGATTCTGTGGAAGAGCGTATTTTAGAAATGCAACGTCGCAAATTAGAACTTGCAGAGTTAACATTATCCAAAAAATTGAGTAAACAAGAAATTGCAAAACGTAGATTAGAGGATTTAAAAATGCTGTTCAAATGATTATTGAAAAATATTTTAATTCTGTTAATATTAAGGTCTTGGTTGTTAAATATTACATGCCAGGAATAACTGATAGTTCAGTGTTTTGTTCATATATGTTAAATAAACTTTAAAATGTTATGAACTATTTTGTTAAAGCTATCTATGATATAGATAGTATAGAAGATGCTTGTATCCAATTGTTCGAAAATTTCGCATTTAACGCTAGTTGATAAAATCGATTTATTCAACCAAGCCAATCGAATTTTTACAGGTTCCCCAAATTTTCGGGTTTGATATATCGGATTTAGGCCGGCATTTAATTAGCTGGGCAGCTTCATGAGTGGGCTATGACTTCATTAGTAAACCTTTTAGTGTGTTTATCTAATTTTTTTTTAAAAAAAGTTATTTTAATAAAATTTTCTAGTTTTTTTTAATTTTTTTTTAATTTTTTAATAAGAATAAATTTATTTGGTGAGGGGTGCACATGTTGGTTGGGTGCTCTTTATAGTAAAATTAATATAAGAAATTAGAGTTAGGAGTAGGATTTGGGTTAGAGTAAAAACTTTACAGAGAATATTTTTTATTAGTTACACAACAAGGGTTATCTTAGTAAAATTTTGAGATATCAAAGGGGTGCACCAAAAATAATGTTTTTTAAAAAGAGAAATTATAGACATCTTTTACAGAACTTACAGTACTGTATATAAGTTATATATCTTCTACAATTAAATTTGTTTAAGTTAGGGTTAGAGTTTGTGTTAAGGTTAGTATTAGTAGAATATATAGTAAAATTACTTATAAAAAATTTTTTGTTAAAGTATGAAAAATAGTTTTTTATACAAATGTTTGAAAAATAAATACTTGTTTTTCAAAGTAATTCTGCTTAATTTTATTTAGAGAAAAATTGATCTATTTAATTAAATAAATACAATTTATAATATCTTAACCAAAAATTTAATTTATTACTAATATTTTACTTATAGTTAAAGCAAATCAAAACCAAAGTATTTTATTTAAATATGATTTGTCTAGCAACAATTAATCTTTTTTGAAGATTCAAAACTTACTTAAATTTATTTTATTCAAATTTCTTAATTGGCTGTAGCTCATATTATCAAAATTTTTACTCTACAATAGAATATCACCAGACTAATAATACTTTCTTATAGAAAGAAAAAAAAAAAAAAAGTAATAAAGTAAATAACAAAAAAAGTTAAGAATTAAAACAAAACTGTTATAGTACTGTAATCTTTTTAATAGCAATACTACTGTATAATAATAACATGGTTACAGCAATCTTTTACAAATATATAGTAGTGTCTGAGAAGTAAGTATAATTCTACTTCAATTAGAAACTATACTTTTCTTTCTGTAGCAGTTTGGGCAAACAATAGTTTATAAATAAAATAAGATAAATAAGATAGAATATCTTTAGATTTCTATTCTTAAAGAATTTTATAATATTACAAGAGAGAATTTAAAAAAAAAAAAAAATCTGTATTCATTTGGATGTTAAACAGGTATAATGTTTACTTAGAGAAATTTATAGCCTTTTTATATCTTTAGAGCTAATTGCTAATCATTATAGCTAAATATAGTTTACTTAGTACTAAGTATTAATGATAATTACTAATTATTAAGCATTAAATATTAATCACTAATTGTAATTGCTAAGCATATTCAAATAATTATACGATGATCATCTGATTAACAAAAAACAAGAAACCGAACTATGGTCAGCACTATAGAAGACGCTTAAGTAAATAATAAACTTGGTCCTACAGAAGTAGGTGTGTTGTCGACGAAGTACCAAGAGTGTAAAACTGAGGCGCGGTCTACTTTGGACTGGTTTTTGCAGAGGTCAAGCTCTTCTTCTAGCAGACTCCTCTATTATATTCGGCATCCAAACCAAAAGGAT